TATCGCTTGCTCTGTTTATTTTTAATTATTTAGTTATTTATATTATTTATAAATTAGTTGGTTGATTTTCTTTTTTTTTTTTTAGGTAAGGTCACGCATTTTAATCCCAAAACTCACTACGTAATCTAGACTGTCTTCAAACAAATAGCAGTCTTTCTGCCTCAGCAGGCTGAGTGCTAGAATTATAGCTGTGAGGCCCCACACCCGCTGTAAGCCATATTATTTAAGCCATATTCCTGTGGTGCATGTAGGACAACTGATTGTAGAGGCAAAAGGGAAAGCAGAGAGTACACTTTGAGACATCTGAAATTCTTTGCTGGTGAGGGAACCAAGGGATGTCTGGAGGCATGGGGAGCCACACAGCCGTTTGCTGTGGCTTCCATAAGAACATACCATAGGCAGCTACAAGGGAAAGTTGTTCCCCAACTGTATTAGAGGCCGGACAGTCCACTGGCGAGTTAGGGCGAGAAGGCTTTCTCCTGGAGGCCTCTCCTGGCTTCTAGATTGCTGCCACCTGGCTGTATTCTCAGTGACCTGTGCTGTGAACACAGACATGTGGAGGAGACAGGAACTCACCCATGTCTCCCCTGGAGTCTATTACTGAGGATGTTTTCAGCACTGAAGTCTTACAATTCCTCTTGTCTGGTACTTCTACTTAAATTTGTTGCATTAGCACAGAGATCCTGGCAAGTGGTTCTCATTGCTTACAAACAACGGTGGCATGTCCACGACTGTGTATTGCTCTCACTTCTTAAAGCTCTTGAGATTTAATTTTAAGATCTGGTTAATCCAGGACAACATATGTAGCTGTTTTCTTTTACTTGTTTTCTACCTGGCTTTAAATCGGGGGGGGGGGGGGGGAAGAGGCAGTCATAAAAGATATACAGGCAAGCTTCTAGTTAGGAAGAGAAACGAGAGAAGGACTCCCCCAAAAGAAAGAATGAAACATTACAACCAGTACTACAAAAACACGAGGCATCATTAAACACTATTATGTTCAACTATACACCAACAAATTGGAAAACCTACATGAAATGAATAAATTTCTATATACTTCTTCCTAAAACTGAATAACATAATTAGCATAAAAAAACCTTGTTAAGAGTGAAGTATTTAGTCTCTTTTGTAAAACTGGTTTTTATTAGAATTTTGCCAGTTTGCTTCCTGTATTTCTTAAGCTTATTGTTAGGTGCATCTGTCTGTAACTCTTTTATGTTCTTGTTCTTTTGAGCCTTTTATTAATATATAAGATTCTCCATTGTCCCTTGTGACCTGTTTTGCTTTGAATCTGTATTGCTTAATGTTTGCGGGGCCATGCTTGCTCTATTTTGGTTGCTTTTTTTTTTTTTTTTTTTTTGCAAGAGATATCCTTTTTAATACTTTCATTTGTAACCAGTTTCCATCTTTGTATCAAAAGAAATATCTTTCTCCATTGTCTCACTAGATGCAACTAATTTGCATCTAGACAGCACATCCGGAAGTCATATTTTTAAATTTGTTCTAACATGTGTCTTTTGAACAGAGACTACATTCTATTTACACTAAAGTAATCACTGCTAAAGAGGGGATTTGGTCATTGTGCTGATTGTTTTTAGGATGCCTTACAGCTTTTTGTTTGTTTCCTGTTTTACTTTCATCATGTCTGCCTGATTATTGTAACGAAACACTTAAATCCCCTTCTCATTTATCTTCAGACAAGGTCTCATTGTGCAGCCCAGGCTGGCTTCAGATTGGTGATGTTGCCTCCACGTTCAGAGTCCCGGGCTGACAGGCAGGCACCACCATTCCTGAGTTCACGGCCTACTTTCTGCTATGTATCTTCATTTTCTTTGTGTGTACCCTATTTAACACAATAACATTATAACATTCTGATCTGAATATGTGGCAGCTTTACTTCAGTCACGTTACCCTGTATGAGTGTTCTTTTTCTTTTTTAAAATTCTGGTTTGTTTGTTTTGTGTGTGTGTTTGTTTACTAAAGAGAGAAAGAAAGGGCTTGGAGTTAGATGGGATCTTGGAGAAGATGGAGAAGAGAAAACTATGATCAGACTATATTGTATGAAAACATTTATTTTCAGTAAGTATATTTATATGTAAATACATATGTACATATATGTACACATATACACACATATGCATGCACACATACCAAAACTACCAGGCTCTACTGCTCAGCTATTGCTTCTACTATCTTTATCTTTTTATATGCTTGAAAACTTTTATTTTCTTTTTTAATTAATTCATTTTATATTAATTATAGTTTATTCTCTTTGTATCCCAGCTGTAGCCCCCTCCCTCATCCCCTCCCAACCCTACCCTCCCTCCTTCATCTCCTCCCATGTCCCTCCCCCAGTCCACTGATAGGGGAGGTCCTCCTCCCCTTCCATCTGACACTAGCCTATGAGGTATCATCAGGACTGTCTGCATTGTCTTCTTCTGTGGCCTGGTAAGGCTGCTACCCGCTCGGGGAGGTGATCAAAGAACCAGCCACTGAGACAGTCCCTGTTCCTATTACTAGGGAACCTATTTGGAGACTGAGCTGCCATGGGCTACATCTGTGCAGGGATTCTAGGTTATATCCATGTATAATCCTTGGTTGGAGTATCAGTCTCAGAAAAGACCGCTGTGCCCAAATATTTTTGGTTCTGTTGCTCTCCTTGTGGTCCTTTATTCATTTTTTTTTCCTCTTGCTTTTATTTTACTTTTAAAATTTATTTTTAATTTATATATTCACTTTACATCTCAGTTGTAGCTCCCCCCACCTTTCTTCCTGGTCCCTCCCTCTCACCCTTTTCTCCCTACTCTGCCTCTCCTTCTCCTCAGAAAAGGGGAGCCCCCCCAGCCCACCCTAGCACATCAAGTTGCATCAGAACTGAGCTCATCCTCATCCAGACAGGCCAGCCAGGGCTGTTTTTATTCTTTAACAGCTGGATTAGAAGGGTATTGCTATATGTTTGAGTTTGTCCTACCTCGAGATTCTTTGATGAGTTTGATTTCTCCCAGCGTCACATAAACCAAGCTCGTTTATGCATGCACTCAGAGATGGAGGAAGAATTGTCTTGGTCAGTGTGGTATTGCTGATGAGAGGCCATGACCAAGGCAACTCTACTAATCCTCCTACTAATCTTTTCAGATAGCGTACTCCCTGGTGACCAAGTGTTCAGATAAATGAGCCTGTGGGGGCCATTCTCATTAAAACCACTGCAGGCATCCTCAGCTACATGGAATTTCAAGGCCAAATAATAAGCAAAGGGTAGAAACTGAGTCTGAATTGAAACCTCACAAGGCAGGGGCTTGAAGGAGGATTTGAGGGAAAGACTAAGTAGAAATTTGTTAACGAGACAAGACAGGAATTTTGGCATCTATGAGGTCTTTTTTAGTAGCCTTGTCCATGGAGAAAATTCTTTTTTGAAGACTGACTTTTTGGGCTGCTGATTTTTAAAATTAAGCATGTAATATTCAGAGCCTGAGGGAGGTTTTATGGGGACAGTTAGGTATAAAGACTCATTTATTTGCATTCTGTGTGATTTCATGATCAGATGTGGAAGTTGATGCAAGAATGGCCAAGTTTCCAGTATCTCTAAGGTTACTGCTTCAGAACATACTTTTATTTGAACATTGGTAACAGTGTTCTCTATAGATGTATTTCAGAAGTTCCATAGACATATGGCTAGGCATTTAGTGGTTCTCATATGAGGTAAAATAGTTAAACATGTTCCTTACTTTTTTATTAAAGAGCCTTTTAAAAATAGTACATGCACATGTAAAAAGAAAAAAGTATTCACAAAAAGTAAAAATATCTTCCCCAACTTTTCCCTTAACCTTTTTCTCTCCTCCCCCCAAAGATATCTACTATTAAAATCTTACTTGGGGGTTGGAGAGATGGATCAATGGTTAAAAACACTTGGTGTTCCTGCAGAAGACTAGGGTTTGTTCCCAGGACCAGCAAAGCATTTTATGCTGTCTGTAATTCTAGTACCAGGGGACTTGACATCTTCTGGCCTCTGTGGGCACCAAACACGCATGGTACAAACAGTATATGTGCAAACAATGCACCCATACACATAAAAATCTTTAAAATTTTGAAAAATAAAATTTTTTCTCCTTACTTTGAGAAAAGTGTGTCCAGCCTGATATTATTGTGTAAATTACAAAAACATTATTCTCTAGTGTGGCCTTACATCTTTTTAAAAATAAAAGCTATGTCTTGTAGAGCCTGGTAAGACACTGCATTTAGCTGTTCCTCCCTCCTCTTCAAGGTGCGTAGAGTTTGTCCACTGTTTGAAAGTGGAGTTTATCAGTACTCCATAAGCTTTTATGTTATTTCCATTTTTTTTTTTTTTACTATTCTAACAATGCTGTAATGTATTCATAGCTGTGCAATTTCTAGACCAAAGAATAAGAATATAGCTTCTTAAAGAAATTCTAATGGTCTTCTGAAAAGTGTGCTATTTCCACACAAGGAGGGTATAGAACTTGGGGTTAGGGTAAAACATAAAATACAGCCCAGGAAGAAACCAGAACCAGAAATGATATAAGGGCTCAAGAAAACTCTGGCTGTGTGATTGGAATGATAAACATTTGTGGTGATAATTTTAAAAGTGGCCTTTACAGTTCAATTATCAGAGCTCTTCCTAGTAATATTTAAGAATAATATTTTAAATGCCATTGTGCTTTATTGCAACAATAAAATTGTAACTTTTTATAGCTGCTGTTGTCTTTAGTTTCATTGTAAAGATAGTGCCCATTTACTGCACATGATTTGAAAATGCAAGAGCACATAAATCAGTAAACATTTTATCTATAAAGACCCTATATATCTATAAAGATACATCTATAAAGATGTATCTGTAAATACATCAATTTTTTGTTTATGCTTTGGCTCCTACACAGTTGAAATCATATTGTATATATATTTACATGAAAATGTTCCTTTATTAATCATTTGATTGTGTCAAATTTACTTACTTTGTGTTTACATTGTCTGTTTTTCCGCCATAGGTAATAGAAATCTAACATTGTTTAGGGATGAATTCAAATACCAGCAAAGCAAAGACACAGACAAATCTTTAGAGTCTCTCCGAAGGCAAAGAAGACAAGCCATGGCTATCCCATTCATGCTACAATGCGGTGAGTGCTGAATGCCAAACAAACGGATATTCATGATTTTCTAAGTGTTCAAGTCATGGTGATAAGGAGATAAAACAGGGTAAAGCATGGTATTTGCTTCTAAGTAGTTACTGTCTAGGCAAGAGCTTAAGTACAATAGAGGGGAAGTTGGAAGTGAAACAGTAGAGGCAGAGAGTTCTTTGAACAAGCAGTGAAAAGGAGTGGAGTAAAATAATGGAGGCAAGATTTCACAACAGAGGCAGCATATGAGATAATCACTATGATGAGATTGTGAGAACAGGGATAAAGCATAGGGAAGGATGGTTGATACTAGATATCTCAACACCTTAGTTGAGATGGAGGACTAGAAACAGCTACTTTCCTATTGGTAGTGTGCAACGCTTTTTTACTTGTAATATGTAACCCTGTGTCTGGCACTAATGGGGATTCTGTAATGTAGTGACAAAATAATGATAATTTAATAACAGAATAAGGGCGAGTAAATGATGAAAGACAGAAGTATTTTCTTGGGTAAATGTCTTTATGAGCTCTTGAATTCTAGGGCAAGTTTTTACTTTGATAAATAGTGGGAGGCGTTGCAAAATGAGGAGGAAGGACAGCAGCACCGTGTCACCCAGCACTCGGTATGCTTTCCAGCCACTGCACAAAGGCTTGGAACTAAGGACAATGTGCTTTCTATCACCCCAGTCCAGTAGGTCAGACAGGCAAGTGCCAAGGGAGCACCTCCCCAAGCATCTCTTTCTCCTGGAAGCATTTCAGGGGAACTGAAGAGTCAGATGTAACTTGCCCTAAGGCAACTTCATGAAGGATGATTTGGTGCAGGGCAGAATGAAGGAAAGGTCAAACCTGTGATGGTAGAGTCTGTTGGAATAGAAGACCTTGGTGAGAGACGTAGATGCCTGAAGTGATGTGTGGCAGTGAGGTTTGATAAAAGGAACATATATGACAGGCTTAGAAAGTATGAGTGAGATAATTGATGTCAGCATGTGACAGCCTGGCAGGTGGCAATGATAATGGACAGTAATGACTGTGTATCTTTGATGTCTGCCAAGTAAATACAATCTCCAGTGGCCAAAGGCCGTATGGGATTGGGGCAGTCATCAGATATCTCTGAGGATTAATCACCTGCCTAGAAAATGAGGCTAGTGTGCTTATGGTTATTGTCATAAAAAGTTGTGAACATACGATCTAATAAGTGTCAAGTTTGCTAAGTGAGCAAGAAAGTGTTTAGCGATGTTGATTTTTATCGTCATTAGTACTGCAAAGCCATTTTATCCTTAGCTCCTCTTTATATAAATATTAGTAGAAATCTCATTTTTTACAGATGATTATACTGAAACAGAAATTAAGTCATTTTCCCATGATCCACGGGCTGTAGGAGGAGGTTTGGGGGACTTATCTGCTGTGTAAACTGCTTCTGCCTCAGAAGTGCACACACTTTACCTCTGTGTCAAGAGGGAGTCCAGGATTAAATTTAGGTTTAGCCTAAAGACAGCCGGGTGCCTTGGGCCTGAAGGCAATGGGGAATTGTAAGGGAAAACATACAAGGAAATCAGAGTGGGTTGTGGAGTGAGATCCGAGGGAAGAGTGGATAGAGGAGGATAGTGTATGAATGAGTGACCTACAGGTCCGAGCTTTCCTTCTTCTCTTCATTGTGGGGTTCAGCATGGAAAATGGAGCAGATAGGAATGGGCTGGGAACAATGGGAGTCAGGTCACTAGAATTCTTAGGAAGAAGGAGAGTGTGATCTGGCAAGGTTCCTTTGCTCAAAAGTCACAGCACCCAACTGGGAGGGAGCTGGAGCAGCAATAATGATGATTGCACATTTCTTGGCAATCTTATCACATAGCCCTTGGAAGTCTGGGGCAGATGTGCCAGCAGGCATTGGGCGTGTGGAGAAGGGGTCACTGCTTTCGGTATGTCAGAACTGATATCTTTTTTTTTTTTTCTTTTTTAATGATGGATTCACTTCTTTTGTGTTTTTACCTTGATGGTCAGATCTTTGTCTCAAATGGAGAGTCCTGCCTTCCTCTTATAATTACCAGGAGAAAGAATTTCCTGACATATGGATCTGTGCTAATGATCCCAACAACCTGGAAAACAGGTAATTTTGATCAGTTTTCTAAAAATTCTTTATCAATTTAAAATTCCTAAGGTGTACCTTATAAGGTGTACCTTAGAATATTATTTTGTGAGTGTATTTTCCCATCGATTAAAGAGACCTGCTATAACGACATACAGGTTCTAAAGTGTGCACAGCTCGATCCTGGCAGGACTCTCCTGAGTTCTTCCTTCCCATTCATGTTCACACAATTTGATCTTACCGGAGTGTTCATGAGAGGGTACATCCAGGGGCACTAAACTCTTAGAATGTGTGCTTTTTTTTTTCTTTTCTGATTTAAGTCATATATTGATTTCATTGCTTTATATGCTGGGAGGAAGAAGTTCAGACTAAACCGGAAAAAGGGCTGATTAAATATTGATGGCTGTCAGTGTTCTTACAAGCCCTTTCAGACTAATAGCCTTTCCCTGGGGAAAAAGAGTTAGTATTCCTTTTTAATAGTGGCACCTTCACCCCAGCATTGCGTTTCTGTACAATCTCTAAGTCCTTAGAGCTGATGGGTAAGTGGATCACTATTGATAATATGGAAAGTAGGGTAAAAATTCCCCTTGAAGTATTTTTACCCAGCATTGAAAACAAATCATATAGGTCTGGGAAGCTGTCCTTTACAGATTTCTTTACTTTCAATTTTCCAGTGACCCTGAACTGGCATGCTCTCGCCCTCTTCCCTGAGCAACTAGTGATGCCTCACAGAGCATTGCAGAGTCATCTTCAAGACTACATTAATTTTGTCCCTTTTACACATCCAAATAATACCATTTGCAAGGGGAGGCAAGACAAACTTAGTCGTGTTGACAGAAAACTGATGGACCTTGAAAATCTAAATAAACTCTAGAAAGTGCTTCTATTTATAGCTTCTTGAAATCCCTGAACCTTTAAACACAGTGACATAATATTGACCCTCTGTATTTCATTTCCACTGAAAAGATTACAATAAGATATGCATAAAACAGCAGCAGGAGGCTTAGCAAGATGTAAATGCATCTAGTTGAGAGTGGGTGCTTCCTGCCCTAGGAACTCAACAGTCAGTGGTGTAGATAGGATGACTCCTGGGGGGACCAGGAACTCCTCCTCTTTCCCCACTTAGTCCTTTGGTTCAGCATCATAGTCTGAGCCTGCCTTCTTGAAGAATGGGGCTTGAAATAGGCCCCAAGACTTCTGTACTCTTAAGTTTGGGTAGAACCATATAAAATATATTCATATAAACAAAACCAAAGTGGTGGTGTATTTGTGAGGACAAGAGCAGAGTCAGGAGATGAGACACGCTGTGGTCTGTACGTAGAGAGAATACAGTTGGTAGTCCAAAGCTGCTTCCTAGTTGCTGTGAAAGTCACTGCCAGTGGGTGGAATTTGGATGAATAATGGTCTATGTAAATAGAACTTGAGACAGAAACACCATGGCTTTCTCTTCCACCTTTACAAAAGCCCTGTGAACTCATCCAGAGGAGAAAGCACAGATACTCAGGGGCTTCACGGGCTTGCTGGGGAGTACCCCTTCAAGCTGAATTTGAAGGTGAGAGTCTGACACAAAACATCTTGTAACAGCCTAGGGAACCCAGTTCCACTTAAATGCACTTAATGATTGAAACCATCTTAAGGTCGGTAGTGTTCAGGGCCCGCAGCCTGGACAAGGTAAAATGGAGCCAAGCTTGTTGAGGCTTCTGAAGTCTTACTTGTTTTCTAGTTTGAGCACAGAAGGAAACTACATTTTTTTTTTGTCACAGTCTCTGAGAAAGCGATCAGCACGCTCCCATTATATTCATGATATGCATTCATCTGTATTGAATGCAGGGATCACAAGCAGGGTAAAAATGATGGCCATTATTTGACTGAACCAAAACACCCTGAATTTTGGAAAGTATGAAAACTACATAGAGGTTGTACTGCATATTAAAATTGATGTCCAAAAATCCTTGGAGGAAGACAGTTGAATTGCTTCATTTAAATAAAATGCTTAGGTTTCTCTGTTCTAAAAAACAAAAACCCAAAACTTAACGTGGCCGTGAGGTTTCTTTTCTCAAATGAAACAGAGTTTGGGTACCGTCTCACAGAGGTCTTCAAATTCCTGCTGCCAGTGGCTGGATATACAGTAGTCCTTGTGATTTGTTTATGCAGCACGTCTCTCTAAAAATAACAATAATAGCAAACACCACACGAAGGTAGGATTGAGTGTTTTTTTTCACAGCGGTGCCTGAATTTGATAGTAGTTCCTCACTTTCTCTGTTGGTAGGGGGCGAGAAAAATACATGGTCACAGCTCTAAAACACAGAGCAGGTAGTTTTCATCGGCTTCAAATTTTCCTGCCTGTTTCCAGTGGCAGGAGGCCTTCCCCATTCCTGGCCTCCTCCCTCTTTGAGCCCAACACACATATATTTTCTGACCCCCTCCTTCTCTTGTGCTGACTGGATGCAGTTCTCCCCTCCTTTCCTCTCACCATAATAGAAAACTTCTAATCCTAGAAGAAACTGAAAGGACTGACATCTGTATTTCATGCCATGCCTGGAATCAGAGCTGTACTCAGAGAGAGTTCAGCTCTTTTTTTTCTGCATCAAGTCTTGATACCAATGCAAACTAAACAAACTATTTCACTTTTTAAAAAAAGGCAGTGTGACTGATTCCGCTCCCTAGAACATAGCTATAGCATTAAAGAAAAAAAAATTTTTTTTTTTTTTTAAAGCAAAGTGGCCTCAAGCCCTCCAAAATAAAAGCTTAGTTATTTTTGCACCATGAGAATTGTTTGTGGTTGTAAAATACACAGGGCTGGGAGACAGGGTGATTGCCAAACACTAGACTGCTGAGGATAGCAGGTCATTTGGGAAAGATATGCCAGTCAGGGTTGCTCAGTTATCTAGTGAGCTATGTGCCAGCCTCCATAACCCCCAAGGCTGTCCCTGAACACTGCATGACATGTCCATTGCTCTCTCACAGGTTCCAGATAAGAGACCCTGAGCCAGAATTGTTTGTGATATTCTATTGTGATATTTCTGTACCAGATTTAGGTGGGGAAATGTTTGTCAGTATTGAGATGATCCAAAGAAAATGTTTTTAAAGACTTGATTTATGATAATAGAGTTCTGATAAGTGGGTCATTGGCAAAATAATTTGTGTTCTCCCATCCTCGTAAACACATGTGCACCCACATTTTCTATGTAGCTCTTTTCCATTGACAGCTAGACATTTAAGATTCCATATTGTCCCAAAGTCATATAATCCTGCTTTATATTCAAATTCTGTGTATATGAGAGAGAATATAACACTTCAGAGAAGCAAATCATCTTTCACAGTCAGCAAACACCTTCATACTTTCTTCGGATGCTAACCTGTTACTTGTTGATTATGAAGCTGTAATCGGAGAGAACTCCTGCCGTCTATCCCGCTGGGAACGATGAGCAGAAGATCACCCTCAAAAGATGAGAAACAGAAGCAGCTTCAAGAGTCAATCCAAAGATACCAGGACAGACTGGTGGAAATACAGTCACAGGTGAGCTGTTACTTATCTTTAAAAAACTCAGCAATGGCTCTTGAGCTGCTGATTTCTTACATGCGAATCAACCATTATGGTTTTCTTTTTTATTTCCATTTTACCAGTTCCTTTCAATTTTGCATCTGAGAATTATTCTAAAAGTAAAGGGGGTTTCTATAGAAAAACACCTGCATATGTACAGTCAAAGGCCATGTCTACACACACAGTGCATGTGGGAGACAGGACATTAGTTTCTACTCTGTAGTTGTGTATTTGTTTAAGGTCAGGCGTTCAAGGCAGGGAACCAAGTTTGCATGACTCCAAAGATTAGGCTAAACCCCTACTCACGTCTTGCACCACCAGGCTTCTTCCCGGGAAGGGGACGTATTGAGTAAAGAGTGTTTTTAGACAACCCTGGCTTGTTAATACAGAATGTCAAAGGCACTTTTGATTATTAAGAGAACTCAGAATAAACATTACCGTGAATGAATAGGTGATTATGACAACTTTAGTGAAAGACGTGGCATACAGAAAAATGTTTTTATTAGCATGTAGCAACTGTCCAGAGTGAGGGAATTCACAACAATTCTATAATACACATCATGTCCTTTGATTATTTTCACTCCTTTCTTTTTTAACTTTTTCTCCTCCCCTTGCCCTTTCCCCTTCCACATTTTTAGTGTATTTTTTGTCTTCTTTTCACTTTGATTTGTTTGCTTGAGTGTGCGTGCATTTTTTCTCTCTCTCTTTCTTTCTTTCCCTCTGTGTGTGTGTGCGCGCATTATGTGTGTAAGCATGTGCATGGCTGTGCATGTATGCACCTGTGGAGGTTAGAGGACAGCCTTGGGTGTTGCTTGTCTTCACCTTCTATCTTGTTGGAGGCAGGGTGTCTTTTGTTGTTCAAAGCTGCATTTGCCAAGCTCGCTGCCTGTGAACCTCTGGAGATCTCCAATGCTCACTTCTTATCTCCTAGGAGCCACCAGGATTATAGATGTGTGCCACTTGACATGGTCTACGTGGGTCCTAGGGATTCAACTCGAGTCCTCACACTCATGTCAAATGTGCTTTACCCACTGAGTCATGTACCCAGCTGAGATTTTTCTTAACCAAGAGTTATATCACTGCTTATAGATAGATTCAGCCCCCCAAGTTCAGTATGTTAAGCTTTCTATAGATAGTTTGCTCAAGTAGTATTTGAGAAGGCCAGCAGTAAGTGTGCAGAATGATTAACTCTATGGATGCCAGAACACAAAAAAGAGGACTCATCAGAGTGGAAAATACAGGCATAGGATTCAATCCAACATTACGTCAGTTTTGGTTTCTTATGATCTCTTCTTACCTTCCCGCTTTGCTAGGAATCTGCTGTGCAAGTCAGACACCACCTGAGGTGGTCACAGGACTGCTTCTCCCCCCTTTACCCTAGCGTCTTGCAATCTTGGAATGATATTGAGGATTACTTGGGAAACACATCCCCTAAACATTCCCTACTGCTGAAACACATCTCACCTCACTTAATTAGTTTATAAAGCCCTGAGTGTGATAAAAAGAAACCAGAAATAAAGGTACGAGAGCCTGTCATTATTTTTATTAACAGGCAAATAGAGAAACACAAGTGCTTCCATTCAGAAATACCTCATTTTAAAAAGCCATTTCTTAATTTGACTTCTACTCCTTGAAGCTTTGGGAAGACATTCAACACATTGGAATTGATTTTATCTTTTGGCCATCTCTCAATATATTGTTTTCCTTCCTTAGAGGTCACTATTGACCATTGGATATTGATAGTGTCATTCAGAGCCTTAATTAGCTTATGGTCTGTTTAAAGTTGGATTATGTTACTGAGGTGGAGATTTTAATGGTTGCTGATAAAGTCAATAGATGGGAGCCATCTCTTCTGTTCATGCTCTTTTTCTGGGTAGATTTTTTTTTTTCTGCACACAAATTTAAGTCAAGATTATAGATTCCTCTCATTTCTATTCTAACAGCAATTTAGGATCGCTTATGTAGACGTCTTGTTCAAAGGATATACGAATTCTCACTGTCTTTTTTTCTTCACTGAAAGGAAAGTTTCCTAAAAAAATCTGTGTGGGAAAACAGTTCTCGAATCTTAACATTCTTTCAAGTATTCAGTGCTAGTCAGTGACCCAACTCTAGGCAGCTGGTCAATTTTGAGTGGTCATTGACTTTTGAATACTTGCTTTTGGGGATGCCTGAGGCTAAATCATGTAGGACGTTCATAGTAACAGGAGTATAAGAATTTAAGGTTTCTGGAGGCAGGGAAAGTCTCAGTTTTGCCTTCCATGACTCAGCATTGCCTAAACCAGTACCTGGTAGGTACTGGGCACTCAGTAGGCTGCTGTTGAAACAGTAAATATATCACATTCTCAGCTAATAAACAGTCTCTTTGTAGATAAAAACCTAATGATCACTTACAAATTACCAAACACAATATGACAGTGTTAGTTCAATAGTACTGGATCGCACTTGAAATGGTGTACAAATTTATTTTAAGGAGACTGTGAGGAAGTGACCTTGTACTTCTGTCTTCAAGTCTGAGTTAAACTGAAGTAAATTGAAGGAATCAGAGAGAACATTCAAGGCAAGAACAGTATAAATGAGGACTTGGCAAAGAGCACTGTTCTGGTCCCTCATGGGGTACTTAGATATTTAAAAAAGCAAACCCGGTATTTGTATGATGTGGTTACCTTTTCAGAATTGCAGAGGTCTTTATAAAATATGGTAATTACCGAATAGAAGAATTTTGAAAGACCATCTCCATTCTTCTTTTACAAAAATAATTGAGTAATGTGGGTGTTCCATAACTCTCCTTCGGTGATACCTTCCCAGTGCCAGGAGCAAGACAGAAAGCCGTGCTGCAGACAGGGTGACGTCTGCTTGATTACCCTTAGAAAGTCTTTACATAAGGACATTGGATAGATGTGGGAACGGGGAGGTCAGAGAAGCAGTACTGGTTCCAGTCAGTATCAGAATAAACTGCATTCAGATGCAGGCTGGACACTGCTAGAAAATCAAGAATAGGCTAATTTACTACCATGATTCAGCATTGGCGGGCACTCATTTGTCTATCCGCTTGAAGCCAGGCTTCAGTCCTCAAGTATAAACTGTATAATTAGGCTTGCCCACCTCCTTCCTCTGTCCTGTAGTCTTTCACCAGCAGTGATGCCCACAGACCTAGGGACCAAGTGTAGCCATAGCTTGCTATGTACATATAGCTCTTAACCTCTGCAGTTCAGCATCGATAGCAGCTGGCAGGCTGATCTGGAAAATGAAGAGGATAACTAGGTATCTTCGTCAATTTCCTGTTGCTGTGATAAAATACCATATTTCGCCCCATAGTTCAAGGATATGTCCATCATATGCTGGGAGTGAAGGCTCCCCACAATCCGTTGATCTCTTCATTGTGTCCGTTGTTTCTGTGCAGCTGCTGGAAAGAGAAGCTTCTTTGACGAGGGCTGGTAAAAGCTTACCTGTGGAGACAAGAATAAGATTTAGAGCAGAGTAAGGAAGTATGCTGGTCTAGCAACCTGGCAGTAATAGATTCTTTCCTGAGGTTCCTGACCTCACCAGCCAGAATAAGCTGGCTAGATTTCCAGTACCAGGCATGATTTCTTTCTTGTTGCGTGGGCCTTAAGGATGATTAGACAGCTTTTCAACATGCGTGTGCCGCTTGCTGCACACTTAGGGATAGCTAAGTGGACAGTGGCCATGCTGGTCATTGTCATGGTTCATAGGTGTTGCATCGGTGTAGGACTATTCACTGCTTCCCTTTCTTGGCAGCTGGTAAAAAGTACCTTCTGGTAGAGAGGCAGACCCCAGGAAGGAATATTTCAGGTTAGATCCAACTCAAGTCATTCCAAGCCTGGGGCTCACTTTACCGAGGTAACCCATCATGGGAAGCATTTCTTGTAGGTGATTCCCGTTCGGGTCAAGTTGACAGTGAACACTAAACACCACGCTAGATCCAAGCACCAAGATCATCCTGGATCTAAAGTTCTACAACCACGAGAGTAGCATGTTTATACTCCTGCTCCTCTCGAAGCCCACGAGCTTTGGTTTCTTTCCCCACTCTGTATAAACCCTCACCCACATTGTGAGAGGACCCAAAGTCAGTCAGGAAACTGTGTGGTAGAAGAGGCATCCTAATGGCATGCCATAGTGTGAAAGGCATAGTTTGTACTTCAGCTGCATCCCCAGATGGTTATACTACTCCCCACAACATTCCAGCTACTGACAGCCATTATAACAGAGGATGTCAAGTGTTAGTGAAGTCATGCACCTTTAAATGGTGACATTAGAATTTTTCTGTCCAATATTTGTACCATTTTGTTCACGGGAAAACAAAATAAATAAATAAATAAATAAAACATAATCGTGGAAGAAAATAATGCCCAAACATTTACAGGGCAACAGAGTGGTATGTTACAAATCGTATTTGGTAAAAGAAACCCCTAAATTCAGGAAAGCTGAAAAGAAAGGCCACCTCAAGGTCTGTCACCCATGGTGGTAACATTTTTCTAGAATAAAGGAATCAAGTAATTGATCATCTTTGTCAGCCAGCCAAAACCCTGGTTATAAATTGTGTGGCTGGAGCAATCCTTTGCAATTTTTCTTCTTCTGAAGAGATGAATGAGAAATTTGTACCCAACTCGAATGTAGGCTTCATTCTCCCATTACCTGGCTTTCTATACTGAGTGACAAGCGCCACCTGCTGGCCAAGAGAAGCATTTTAATGTTCATGTGTCGCTTGAGTGCTTGGCTGCTGCTTGACAAATTCACTGGATAATTGCTTTTCTATTTTCTAATATGCCAGGGCAATACTTTTAATACCATTGACCTATGAAATCAAATTCCATGCAATTTAAGAGTTTCTGAGCTCCCAGTTTTAACTCCCAGCTTAAATTTCTATATTCCATTGTACATCAAGGATGACTACACATAGAATTTACTTTTAGCTACATTTGGTTCAGGCTTTTTAGGGACCACATTAAAATATGACC